ATTTGTCCATGTATATATTGAGTATTTGTTTTGAATACTCTGTGTGAAAAGGAATTTGTTAAAATTAAAAATACTTTTCTTCATCTCAAATTTTCTTTGTGTAATCCCTGAAACCTCCTAAGTGCATTTCAAACATTTTTTTTCCACTAAATCTTTATAGTTTATGTTATTTTCTGTACCCTATCTCAAATCACTCAGGGAACGTGCAACTCACGTTATGCTATCAAAATACATTACCCACGAGCTGCTCGTGAAACATTTTAATTATATTATTATTATTATTACTTATTTTATCTAATCTAGTCTTATATAACTTAAAAAGATCCATACCTTTATAATAATAAAGAATAAGTATGAAAAACAAGAAATAAAGTACCCAATCTTCTTTTTTCTTGCCCTTGATTGCTGAGAAGAGTTAAGCCTGATTTTTTTATAGTCATTATAGTAAAGCACTTAATTTTTATTTAATTAAATAATTCACCAAAGAATATAGACTAATAACATGCAAAAAGCAGACAAATTCACTTACTTCCCATAATTTTCCTGGCTTTCTAACTATGCAACAAGAGCTGTTACAAATTCATCCAAGCTAGTCATTAACTTTCCCACGGAAACGATGTTGCTACTCCGAGTGAAATTGCCAATTATCTGTTCAGAACCACTTTATACAATGCGTCATTTGATAGATGAAAACCTTGACTTTCTACTGGTCATAGGTAATATATAATGAAACGTAAGAGAGAGCTATCAACAAATTGTGGGTGTGGCAGGAGGGGTTTGATTTTCTATTTGATAGCTCTGTAACCAAACAAAATTGAAGGCTATAAAAATTATGGTCTGTTTGAACAATAACAATTTTATAGAGTATTTTATAGGTAATATATAATGAAATGTACGAGAGAGCTATCAACAAATTGTGGGTGTGGCAGGAGGGGTCTGATTTTCTCTTTGATAGCTCTGTAACCAAACAAAATTGAAGGCTATAAAAATTATGGTCTGTTTGAACAATAACAATTTTATAGAGTATTTTATAGGTAATATATAATGAAACGTAAGAGAGAGCTATCAACAAATTGTGGGTGTGGCAGGAGGGGTCTGATTTTCTATTTGATAGTTCTGTAACCAAACAAAATTGAAGGCTATAAAAATTATGGTCTGTTTGAACAATAACGATTGTTATAGAGTATTTTACATTTAATTTCATACATTTTTGATGGGTCACACTAGTGGAAATTCAGGATTTTTTATATATTTCCTTCTAGAATTAACAACTTAAAACTTATATAGTATTAAAATATGGATTATTAGCTAAGATTTTAAGCTATTCTAATTGGTATAACAAACAAAAAGTAGTTTAATAAAATTTTGAATGGAAGACACTAAAACCTTGTCATGCACAGTAATGGGTACCTGGGGAGAGAGGATTAACATACAAAAAATTTAATATATACTAAGCCCACATCTTCTTAGTTTATTTTACATCTCATCCTAAGCTAGTAGTAATTGGAACTTGGAACAACACCCACCCATGTCCCAAGGTGACTGTACATCTTGACGCAATTCAAGTTACTAGAAACACGTTCTTTAGTATTTGTAACTGCAGCGAACAAGCTAGTATAAATAACTATGCTGTTATATGATATCCTTATAACCAAAGCTTGGAAAGTCACTATTTGCAGTAACAGCTATCTTTAAATCTGTGCCTGTACCATACTACCCTTCTAAACCTGGGTCACAAGTCTTCGTCTCCTCTCACCTCCCTCCTTCGCTCTCTACAAAATTAAGGTACCTCAACTCACCCTTACATCTAGAAACATGCGGCAAGAGTAAAGGAGAAGGGAATTATGGGAGCATACTCTCGTCTGGGCCGTTCTGACAATCCTTTGCAATGTGTCCAGTTCCATTACACCTATAACATCGGTCTTCCTGTTCTTTACAGTCTCGAGCAAAATGTCCAATCCGATTGCACTTGTAGCATTTTTCTGGAATGGAAGACCAGAAAAACTTACTTCCTGTCTTCCATCCTCAGTCACAGAATTGCTTTCAAAATGTTATGTTACAAAAATTGTTCAACCTATATCTGAAATAGTACAGAATCTATTCAAACTTTCAACAAAAAGTGGAACCTCATGTTTCTAAAATTAATGTTTTTGCATAGTATTGAATTTATTCATAACATTCAGGAACAAGTTAAATCTCAGTACAAACTTTTACTGCTTACTTTATTAACATCCGAGACCCTGTATTGGAACATAATTACAAACAATTCAAAATTCAATAAGGTTAGTTTCATTAATAGCCACTAGTTCCAAAAAAAGATAATCGACATCAAGTTCACACAGACACACGAAGCAAGTTTAACTTAAATACAGCTACTAGTCCCCATAGCATTACTGAAGTATTAGGCTTTACATAATTTAATTTTTTATTACAAATAAATTATTCATAAACTAGTATTTTACCAGATCTTAAATAATGTTTAAATAAGATCAAACCTTTTTTTTTTATCAGTAAATGCACAAGTTTTTCTGTTCTTGTCGATGGTTTATTAATTATGTTCACTATTAACAAAAGCAAAGAAAACATTTTAAGCACCTAATTTCTTACATCCACATTTAAAAATACACTATTCCACTTGAATGATAAACCATCCAAAATTATAAGCCTTCACATTGTAGGTTGGGTTAAAGCAATTTATCTTTAGTATGCAGCGACCTAAAAGTTTGAATATGCCAGTGAAATCAGTTATAAGTAGTGGTAAATATTCATTTTAAAAAAGTTATCTATGAAAGAACCATTCTACTAAGTTCTATTTATTTCACTGTCAGGACAATGTTTGAAAATACTGTTTGCCAAGTTACTTGAAAACATACACAAATACTTCCAGTTTATTTTAAACAATGTGATTAACAGGATGTTAAAAAAAATCAATTTTTTAAGGTGAGGTTTCCTGAAGCAAAACAATCAGATAAATGAAAAGATAAATCAGTATTAAAGATTTGTCACTAACTGTTCTATTATTAAAAAAATACAATAAATGATTCAGCACTGAAGACAGATATCAATTTAAAATAATTCTAAGATGTTAAACACAGCAATCAAATAGGAAATATCTAAAAAATGCAAACAATCCTAAAACATGAAAATTATAACATTCTGATTAAATTCAAAATTGGGACCCTGGATATAATCAAGATAGCTTTAAACAAAATGGTAACTATTAGCAAGTTAGTTTGTCCCAATAATATTAATATTTAATTCCTTTTCTCTTCCTACTTAAATATTTATAAATCAAAATCTTATTCATATGAGATGCTCTTTAAATTCTTGATTCATTAGACATCTGTGATAAAAAACTAATGCCATCACATGCAAAAACAAAGCACTATTTTAGCTTAGTAGTTGTAGAAAATTTAAGTAATTACACTATAAAAAAAGCTAAATATAATAAACAGTAATATCATATAATAATAATAATAATGAATAACAGTGTTTTTAAAAGTCTCTTAATTCTAAGTTTCGTTGAAAAATTATTTGTATTTCAACTACTACTGTGATCAATCCAGCAACTAACAGTGTCAAAGCAAACTGGTAAGAATGAAAGGGGAACAAATGTAATTACACCTGGAGAATTTTGAAGCTTAAGCTGGAAACTACAACACTCCTGATAGGTTAACTTCATACCTCTTAATTTTCTTAGGAATCTGTATCCTGTGTAAGATACTCTGTTCACTAAAATTAGACAAGTCATTTACTATTCTTTGCCACAAGTATATGTATTTTTATGTAAACAAATCATGAGAGAATGTTAATTTACATGATAATAATGGGAATATGTTGTTTGTATTTCCATTAATAACCTGTCTTTACATTAACGAATAAGTACTACTTGGAATGACTAGAGTTGTTGTCTACGGAACATCCGAAATACATCTATCCTGATGATATCACTTGAAACTCGTTATGGACAGTTTCATGCTATTATAACCCATTTTCATTCTTTTTCAAGAAATTTGTTATATACTATCTCACTTCAATGACAAAATTATTAGCCCTTATACTGCAGGCTGGGCTGAAGCAACTTGACTATGCAGTGACCCTCCATTTTACTTAAATAGTTCTTACTGATACCACTAATGATCAAAATTTTAATCTAAACAGCATCATTTGGATATTCTATTTTTACTTCTTTAATAAAATATAACTTCTTGGACAATGAAACTTGTCATCAAGTTTTTTTTTCCTAAATATTTATACATTCTTTAAAATATTGTTGGGAAAATATTTTTATTAAAATACTAGATTCTTATGTATTTAAGAAACTAAGAAATAATTGTTGCAAGTTTGTAAATAAAATTATACTGCATAAAAGTCAGTTAATAGCAACTTCATGGAGTTCTTTCAGTACTATTTTTAACGAGCACAGTTGTATATATTTATGGATATATTTGTACATTAACAATAATTTTATAACTGCAAATGTTTAGATACTGTGCAAACATTTAATTTATGAATAATGATATTTTTTCTATGCAAGAAACATTTTATATAATTGATACTTGGTGTAACTCTATAATTACAGAATTGAGAAAAGACAACTGTATGTTTTGCATTTATTTCATTTATTACAAACATGGTTTTGCCAGTTAAGGCATTATGCATCTAAAAAAGACATGCTGTATGTTTATCAAATGTAAAAGCAAACTTGTTTCTTCAATTAAATCTTGTGCTTTTAAATTTAACATCAAATGGCTACAGAAAATTCTTTAGAGAAATGTGAATACATACAGTTTTTAATTCGGTCAAATTATTTTCTTTAATAATTCACATAAGAGAACAGAAGCAGGCAATAAACTTCGACAGACTTCTGACATGTCAAAATGCCTTGATCTTTTACAACTAAGTTAGCAACAAACTGAACAGAGCATGAAACTTTTTCTTAAAATACACATTTTCAGCAGCCAGCCAGCTACAAAGAAAAATAAAGTGAATGAAATGTTTATCCAAACATGTGATGGTTACGTATACAAAATAAACTGAACTTAAAATCACAGACACAACTATCATTTATATTCATTCTAAGAAGTAAAGAGAAATTTTCAAAAAGTATATACACACACACTTTCTAGAAATTAAATACAATAAAATGAATTTTAATGACACATCACAGTCCTGAGTTTTAACAAGTTCAAATGAAATTAAATTCTACCTCGCAGTGGGTTACGACCACCTCGAAAACCACCACCACCACCACGTCCTCTGTATCCTCCTCCTCCTCCACTTCCTCTTCCATCACCTTGTGTACATTCTCGAGCAAAGTGTCCAGTACGGTGACATTTATAACACTCTGTAGAACTCATTTTCCTATCAAATATATACTTGTTAATTAGACAACAGACAGAATCAGCAACAACTACATCTTCCAACTAATAATTTCTGTCAAATTTTACAAAACATTTCTAAAGCATTAAAATAAATGTTTGAGATATGGGGCTAAATTAAACATTTCAATATATAATAATTTCTATTTAAAGGTAAGGTTACTATTTTTAAGAATCTTACTTGCTTTGACACAATCACCCCCCGTTCAATGTGTTATAGTACACCACCGATTTTCCGGCACCTCCTTTAATCCGGACAAAATTATGAGCGCACTTGAAATTCCTGTGATCGGCAGACTAGTTCAACGGGCAGTCACAGATGGCATTGCTTGCAACACACACTCTTCGGGACAGGCTACTTACATTTTAAGTAGGTACGTGACTCTCGTGAAAATTTTCTTATATATATATATATATATATTAAACTAATGGATCAAATTGCAAAATGGATAATCTGACAAGTCTCCCGAACCAAAGGTGTCAGAAAATCAGTGGTGTACCTGTACTTTGTGTGATTTATGAAGGTTTAAAAAAGTTATGTCTGACCTCTGCCCTTATATCTACTACTAAACATATCTAACAGAAATTTCTGATTTAGAATCTGGTTTCAATGTGTATTAACATTTGTTTTACTTAGCTTAAAGTTAAAAAAAAAAATCCTAACAGCTAATTTAAATTTGAGATAAAACTTGCCAACATAAGAAACACAGCTGCAACTCCACTCTCTGTACAAATTTGTTGCTTGTTTTAGCTAAATCCTTTAAATACAGTAATTTCTGAAGTTACTAGTGTTGAAAATTAAAATCCAACTGAATGCATTTTTTTTTACACCTTCAAATCCCCTAATGGTAAATAAACCATTTTTACATCACCTGAAATTTGGAATAGTATTTTCTTTCTGGCACTGTCACAAAGTATTCTTTCTTCCTTATATTGATAGTAATTCTCAAAATATTTACTTAGTGTTTTCTAAGCCTTTCTAAGTATATAATGGATTGACTTAATTTTAACTTTCTGTATTGTGTGAAAGGGTAATAAATCATATTTATTGAAGTAATCACCTTGGCAGCTTGTTTTCTTTATAAAAACTACTGCTTGGAGTTTGAAACTTCATTCTTATGATAACTTTTGCTCTGGCATGAGCTTAGAAATTAATGGAAGTAAAAAGACAGCTTTAATAAATAAGATACAATAAAACAACATACTAACAAAAAAAACATTTCCTCTTTTTATCCCCACCCTTGAGAAAAGCAAACATTTAAACTCCATGTAAGGAGCTGGCCTCCACTACTGTCAAAGGTCACAGTAACTGCACCTGATCAGAACACATGTATTTTGTTCACAATAAAGTAAATGTATCATACAAATGTATATCACTCATTCACCTATCAATATACAAAGATGATGGTGAAACAGAAGAGAATGGGCAGTTTCATCACATTTCCAAATCAGAAACTCATCACAGAAAATAAAAGGAACCTGATGAATCAGAAGAAATACCTGTAAGTTCATTGCAATGTTCAGGTGAACAGTAGCAATACACAAGTCCTCCTCATTAAAAAAAAAAAAAGAATGAGAACTAAACTTTAAAACCAGGTAATGAACCAGAATTTACATGGATTTGTGAGGAAAAAGTCAAATACCAAAATGACGTGGTGATTCGTATAAGATTTTGGAAATGGAAGAAGAGAAAAGTGCATTTCTGAAAGACTGCCAATATCCACAGAAGTTAGCAGACACAAAAAATGTTGCATCAAAAATGGAAAGTAGTCAAAGTCTTCAAATAACAATCAATGGCATAAGAACTGAACATCATAAGGAAAGCTGTCTTCCATACTGTAACCTTTCTATCAAATGACACTTATGAGGAACTGATAGAGCTGCAAAAAGTGTAAGGCAATCTTATCTAATGACTCAATTCTAAAACACTATTCCAACTTAAGAAATGCAAGACATTTGCATAAACATTCATAGAAGATATGAAGAAAATTCAGGAGATCCTTTATGTGGGAATTCTCGTTTACAAAATGATAAATGTCACCAGACAAGAAATTGATTGGTTTTCCATATTTTAAATGAATATGGAAAGGCTCACTGTCTTTTGTGGTATCTTCACTTAGTAGAGACAGACATTTTTCAACAAAATACAAGATTTGATGCACTAAAAGAAGACAGATCCAAAACAGTTTGGTGGAAGATATTGCAAATGCCACTACAATTTTTCCAGCACTCAGAAGCAAGATATGGGAAACTATGTGAATTGTTTGAGGATCTATTATACAGACACCTTTCAAGCCTCAAGCAGCCATGTTGTGTTTAATGACTTTCACTATCAAGGACTGTTTCTAGTCTAGACAATAACTGGGTTGTTTTGTATCTGTAACTTAAGAGAAGAGGTGGCAAAAGAAACGAAAATACTGCAGAGGGCCTATAAATAGTAGCCAAGACAATTTCATTTGTGACCACAATGAAAATACTCTTTCACATGTTGCTTGCCAGTAAAAGGTTAAATCATTTTTCCAATGAGACATTTAACCAGCCAACCTTTTGCTCATGGTTGGATCATTAGTTAAAGAATAGAAGCTTTAGATGTGTACCAATTTTACAACAATGCCAAAACACACAATCACAGAAGGAGAAGCATTGTGCCATAATTTCCAGCAAATGAAATTCATGTTTAAATGTTATAGCCAACCAAACTTTGAGAAATCCTGCCAAATACTTGCCACCAAAGAAACATAAATCTACCCAAAGCTTTCAATACTTGCTTTAATTATAATTTTGTCAGTTATTTGTTCCTTGTGAGCATGGTTTTTCTGCTCAAAACCATTTCATAAATGGAAAACAGTTACCTCACAGAGGACCATGGTCACCTGATGACAAATTCAAGCATTTCCCATAAAATGCTCAGGGTCTGGAATATTGTTAATATCTCTGTAAAAACAAAAAACATTTAATAGCTCAGCCTTCCTTTATGTATTTAGATTAGTTTTATTAATATATAAACTACCTTATTTCAAAATTTCTTTCAACTAGATGGACTAAGACACCAAATAATGAAAACAAACTTGTAGTTGTTCTTTCAGATATCAATTGTATTAATTAGTTAAAAATTAATTATTAAACTTAGGTGACCATATACAACAAATTTTCAAACATAAGGCCATTACTGGAAACAGAAAACTCTTACAAGTTGAAACACCATTTTCATGTGCAAATAGCTGTACCACATTTTTTGGAGGTAAAAACCAGAAACATCTCAAATGTTTGATGGCAAGTAAATCTTAGCCAAATGTCCTTGTTGCATGGACTAAGTCTGACTTGCTGACTCATTGCCAGTTGTGCAGGGAAGCAGTTAACTGGGTAATAAGTAGCTTGCAGATATTAATGGTGGACTACTGCTTTACACATATCTAAGACAACTGTCGTAAGAATCACGATGCCCCACAAAACTGATGATATTGCAATTAATAATATTCATTACTGAAGCTACCTTGCATTGTATAGGTTGTTACTATCAATTTCACTGTATTTTGAAACAAGTATTCAAATTTAAAATAAAATGGTGCCTAAAATGAAGTACAGTACTTATTAACAAATGAATTTACATATAACTTCAACTGTAAATGACTGCGTCTGTACTACGATGACACTACCAACCCTAAACAAAACTTGGTTTAACTCGTAGGGTTTGGTTTTTAGGGGTATCGTACCGTGTAACTAAAAACCTACTA